AAGGAAGTTTTTCCCACCATCACAACATTCAGGTAGATCCTCCAAATTCTGTGAGGGTCATATTCCTGTCTCCTCTTTCCCTCCACTGGAGTTACTGAAGTCTTTGCTTACTTCTGCTCATGAAATTCCTAAAACCTCGGTTCCTTTGAAACCTTTAAACATCCCTAATGTTTAATGTTTTAACCCCACTTAGTTAAAATCAAAAAATGTGCTCAAAAGGCATGCTGATGTGGCTTTCTGTTCCCTTGGATAGCCAAGCTCAAAGCAGTTTATTGCTTGTAGGAGGGAATTATTTCCTTCTCTTCAACTTTTTTTTCTAACCAAAAAAAAATTCCCCAAATATTCCACAGACTTCTTGCTCTTAAAAGAAATTAATTTTAACTTAAAAAAAGAAAAAAAACCAAAAACCCCAAAAAACAAAAAACTAAAAAGACCACAACCACTCCCCTGGAAACCCCGAGCTGTGAATGAAATGTTTCATCCTCTGGTGTAAAGGGTGGGTCTGATTTCAGGCAAATCCTGGAAACAGTATTTGCAAAGGTGGCTCAGAGCGAAGCCGGCATCTTCCTGTCTTCTTCAGCTCCAAGTGGCTCAGCGGTCCCACGGAGCAGGGCTGGAGGCACAGAGGTGTCAGGACGCCGCTCTCCCTTGTGCCCTTCCCAGGGCTGGGGCTGCTCACAGGCATCCCGGCCTCGGGCGGCGGTGCGGACACCATCACACCATCAGAAATCCCCAGCAGTCTCCTCCCGGCGATACAAATGCTAAGAGAGAATGTCCCGGGGATACAAATGCTAAGAGAGAACGTCCTGGCCGTTTCAGCCGCAGCCCGGGCGCAGGGAGGCTGCACGGAGGGGCAAGGGGAGCGCGGCGCAGCTGTGCCCGGGCTGCCGGTGCCTCGCAGCGGCGAGCGGAGCGCAGCCCCGCATTCCTGCCCACCTACACACACACACACACACACACACACACACACGCTGCCTGCGGCCAGCACCGCGGCTCGGCTGGAAATCCGCTGTCCAGACACGGCGCCCACAGCCCGGCTTCCTCCCGATGGTGCAGACGCGTGCCTGGAGCCGCCGGAGCCGCCCGACACCAGCTCGGCGGGGAAGGGTCCTGGAAGGGCACACAGCCCTGGGGATGGCACTAACCCTTCTCCTCTTGAGGTCTGCCACTGAAAGATGCTCCCCCTCGCCTGTGCTCCCAGGATCACAATCACGGGCTAGTTTGGGTTAGAAGGGACCTTAAAGATCATCCAGTTCCAAGCCCCTTGCTGTGCGGAAGGGGCACCTTCCACTAGAACAGGTTGTTCAGAACTCCATCATGAGCTGTCCACAGCTTCTCTGGGCAACCTGTTCCACTGCCTCACCACCCTCACAGCAAAGAATTTCTTCTTAAAGTAAATAATTTCTCCCTAAATTAAGTTTACTAGTAGTCACTCAGACCCCCCTCTGAAATATCCCCAGCTCTCAAACATCTCGGGCTCCATCTCCCAGTAGGTTTCCTTTCAGGCAGTGCAAATGAACTTGGCCAAATACCAGTGAGCCCCGAGAGCCTCCCAGCTATGCATGGGGCACTGGCAATTCACACAGGCACACCCCTGTGCTTGTGTTTCCACCGCCGACTGTGCTATGCAGCGTGCCTTGCAGCTGACAGGAGCTGGATGCAACCTCACTGCACCGGTGAGTATGTCCGCCCAAAAGCCAGGTCCATCAACCCACAGCTGAGTGTTGGCTGTGAGCAGGAGGGAGGAAGGAAGTTTGGGCTGCAGGAGAGAAATCAGGACACTTGCTGGCTTTTGCAGGGGGCTTTTGTACACTACTGCCAGTGGGTTTCCATGGCTGTTTTCCAGCTGGGAAAAGCAAAAGATATACATTCTGAGCTATCTTAGAACATGTCCAGATCTCTGTGGGAGGATGAAAATGGGAAAAGCAGGCAGCTGTTGTGTGCACTGTCAAAGCAAACCAAACCATGAGCAATTTGCATTTACCCAACCCCTGGCATGAGGGGTGGTACAGGTCTTAGGTTCCTTTTGAAGGCTTTATGGAAATGTCCTTGTTAGAAACATCTCTCATCAGTGCCTTGTGAGTGAGAAGAGAGCCCTGTTACAAGCTACTACTTATCAGAATTATTTGGTGCTGCTTTTCTATTTTTTTTTCTCAGGAGAAATTATTCTTTTGGTGTGAATTGCTAGCTGGAGACTACCACTTCTTCACTGTGGCACTGCAAGACGTGTTCAGCACTGCAAAGAGGAACCACAGGATTGGGGATTTGGGCTGTAACAGACTTGTATTTACTGTGTCTGGGGTACCAAGGCTGTGCAGAGCTAAGGCAGTGTAAAACCAGAGGCCAGGTTCACCCTCAGAGACAGAGCCAGCCCAGCAGCAGCAATGTCAGGAGATGCCAGTTTTACTTCACAAAGCCCATGGGCTGTGTGATCTGGGCACATGCCAGGTGAGGAGACTGGCCAAAACCAGAAGAGGGTCTGTGTCTAGGTGGGAGTTATTCCCTGCTCCCAATGCATTGGCCATTGCACCCAGGCCATTCTGGGCAAGACTCTTCTCCAGCTCCCATGAAGAAGTAGGTAGAGCACGGTTTCACAAGAACAGCAGTTTTCTCATGATGTTTCTTTTGCCTTTTAGGGTGAAATCTACGAGGAGAGACAAACTTTTCCAGGCTGTTTGGACAGCACACAATGCATGACCACCCTTCCACGAAGTCAGGCTTGAGGAGGTAACACTAATCCCACCATGGGCATGGTAGATTCCAGCCAGCTTCTGGTGTTTCTCCAGGAGCAAGCACAAGGTCTCAGCAGTGTGCCCAGAGCCCAGCCTGGTGCCTGCATGCAGTCTTGGTTATCCATACCCACATCCATGGGTGCAGATTGAAACCACATCCTGGAGTAAGAGAGCACGAAGCCAAGCTCTTGCTCACATGGTCTGGGCAGGGAGGGCACTTCCTTGCAGTGTGTTTGGTTAAAGGTGGATGCTCAGGGCTAGAACAGAGCCAGGCTGGCAGTGAGTTGGTGTGGCCCTCCTTGCCCATTCCCTGGAGGTATTTGCCCACAGCCCTGATTTCAGCAGCAGGAGAAGAAGCAGCCACTCTGAAGCTCTCTCTGGGCTGCTTTGTGTGTATGCAAACCCTGCTGTGAATCTTCCTCTCTCCTCCCCAGAAAATTTGGAGATTCCCATATCTCTTCCCCAATAACATAAGCTACAAAGTTTGACGTTTACTCCAGGGTTCTGCCTAAGAGAGAAAAGGTGTTTGATATTACTGTTCTTCCATGGGCCAGGCAGGGGAAGCAGTGTCCAGCAGTAGGGAGCCCTTAACTCCAGTTAATAAACACACCCTTCACTTCCAGCCTCTCTTCCTTGGTGAGTGTCATTTAGTGAAAGCTGCTTGGACTTGGCCGGGGATCAGCCCTGCGAGTTTACAGGATTCACAATTCACAGATGTTAGGAACTATCAGGCTGAGTGTGGGTGGAGAATGTCAAGTCTGAAATAGCTCTCCTGCCACCCTGGCACAGGCAGCAAGGAAAATGTTTCCACGTGACATTCTTCGAACCAACATTTCCTACAAGGAAAACAAGAGGGGATAAGTAAGAGGCAATTGCTGCCATCTCGGAGGGCTCCTGACTTTTTCTCTGGGGTGGCTGGAATTTGTGCTGACATTGGCACAAAATATGCACTATAGCTGAGCTATAGGGCAGTCCCTTACACTTCTCCTTGTCCACACAAACATAAAGGTCTGCTTGAAGATGCAATCCCTCTGGTGCACAGATATGTGGGTGCTATTTTTTTCCTGCTGGAATCCATTTTAATTTAGCTCCTGATTCATATTTCATTCATTCTCCAAACCCACAAAACCAGGATAGGTTTACAGCCTGTACTATTTGGATAAATCATGGAGGGGGAAGAAACAGGGGGACAAAACAGGTTGCTTTCCTGAATGATTTTCTATGTGACTCAAAAGGGAGAAGAAAAAAACAAGAGGAGATGGTGGGGAGAGAATTAAAGCTGTTCTTTCTTGTTTTCATATTACTTCAGGAAAATCAGATCTGCTTTTCATCTTTGGTAGTTTGTTTTGGTGGACTTTACTCTTGTTTCTCTAGGCTTTGGTTTCTGAAAAAGATGTGATTTCTATTTTCTTACTTTTACTTTCTTCTCAAGATAATTGCAAAGACAGGGTTTTTTAATGCAGAAAATGTGTATGTTATTTACAAAATACCAAACAATGCAAGATTTCTGTATCATCTCGATTGTTTTGGAAAAAATGGCGAAAAGCTATAAAGGGAAACATTGAATATATCTGATAGTATTCTTGCAGGGAGGAGGGCAGGAAGGGGAGGCAGAGGAGCAAAAGTTCAGAGTTAATTTTAATTGAGGAATTTCCCCATATTTTGTCATTCAGTTTTGAAACTGTGACCACAACAGACTGTTTGAACTGTGGTGTGAGAAAGACTGAAAAATTCCCCAGACAACTATAAGCAGGTACTAACCCCAGAGTTGACAAGGAAAGCTTCTAAAGTATGATGAAATTCAGCACGGGCTGCACCCAGCAGAGGAAACTCCGGCCATCTGGAGACGAGGATGACCAGCGGCCACAGTAGTTTGTAAAATTGCAAGAGCTGCCAAAATTAAACTGTGAAGTCAGGCGGGAAGGCAACCAATGACCGGCGAGATCAGAAGTTCAGAGAAGCCCCAGATGAGCTCCCAACAACAAGTGTGGCCAGCGTACACCAAAGTTTATTAAGGATGTTGAGAGGAGGGGAAAATATCTGTGCAGAAGATGCCCAGCTGGCGAGGAGGGAGTGGTGGTGATGCTCGGGTGACTCTGTGAATCCCATTGGCCAAGTCCCCGGCAGATCCCACCCATCCACAAGTGTAAAATAAATCTCTAAAGTTGTACCTCGTGTACCACTTGACCTTATTGCTTTTAGCCTGCTGGCTTTATATCTATTTATTTATTTTATTTCGCCTCGTCCCCAAGGAGGGGCTGGAAGGAAATGAATTTTGAAGCAGCACCTTTCACCACCTTGCCATACTACCCTGATTCCTGCATCCAGCGGTGAGTCTGAGCGTGACGTAACTGTGCTATCGCAGGTTTGATCGCAGTCTCCTGTGTAATTGTTAACTTCCCTGCTATCGGCCGCTGGCAGCTGGGCTGCACGCGGAAAAAATGTGCCACTCTCTTCACGCTCAGTGGAGCTTATTATTATTTTTGGCTTTCTAACAGGTTACTGTTTAATTATAGGCATCCGTTTAAGATATCTCCTTTTCCTCTTTGGCATTAGAGGAAAAAAAAAATATTATAAATAACACGAAAGCTGATAGTATCTTTCCCCGGTGTTTTGGAGCAGAAGGTTACACTGTGCTTTGGGTAGTACAGGAATGGCTTTAACTTTATGTTGTGTGTTTGTTTGTTTCTTTAAAGTGAAAAAAACTTCTGGGAACAATATGAGCTAAAATATTGAGCCCTGAGATTTTGGAATTTAAAGGGTAAATAATTAATTTAAAAGATTCAGAGAAAAAAAACCTGCCTTCTAAGAGAGAGTAATTTTCCAGGAATATTTTTTCCTTCTGTCTAACAGCCAGCGTCAGAGCCTGACAACCACTCTTATTTTAGCTTTGTTGTTACGCTGAGTTTTATAACTTTCCAGCAGATAAAAGAGCATGTCCACACGAGGTGTCACAGTATCACATTGTCGGTTTGTTTGTTTCTCCCAATAGAAGATACTATATTTAAGCATGCAAATGACATGTAGATGGTATTTTTCCAGTCGTAAAGTTCGGAGAGGTGAAATCCTCTGGGCACAGTCACTTGCTGAGCTCCTTTATAAGACTGGCTTCTGTCTGTGTTTTGTAAAAGCCCTGGCTGGTGTCTGACAGAGGCATTAATTTCTGGAAGAGTTAACTATTAACTCTGCATCCTTGCAGGGTGCTAAGGAAGGGTGCCCTGCTGCATGGCTCTGTGCTGGGGAAAGAGCTTGGCCACCATCACCCAGCCTGTGGCATTGCAGCCAGCTTTGCCATCTCTGCCTTTTTTCCCACTGTTGTGCTTTGATACAAGGTTTGTGGGGACTCTCATCCCCCCTAAATGCGGGTGTTTGGTGCCAGTGCTGTGTGAAGGTCCTGGGGAGGAGAGTGGGGACCTGGCAGCGAGGAGGAGCCGGGTTTGGGGCCAGCAGAGGGAAAGGAGAGGCTGGGGAATAGCACACGGTCCTTGGCAGCGCTGCCGTGGCACAGGAAGATGGAATGGAGCCGGGGGTATTGGATTCCCCAGAGAGACCTTCCACAACACCAGCCCAGGGCTGGCCAGGCACATGCAGCCACGCTCTGATCTCCTGCACACCCGCCCAGCCCTGCTGACCCCGCGGGGATGTGCCTGTGGCCAGCAGACAGCAGGACACGAGCAGGGCCTGCCCAGCCAGGTGGATTTGGGCTGGCAGTGGTGGAGTCTTCAGCACATTAATGTCTCCGTGGCTGAAAGCCCCAGCCAGGCAAATTCCAAAACTGAGAATGAAGAAAAAGGGGGAAAAAAGGGGAAAACTTTGACCTTGGAACGTGTGAAGATGCACTGGGAAGTGTACCTGAGCTGTGGGACAGCTTCCCAGCCTGTGAACTCCTGCCAGATTGTATCCCTATCTCATGTCAAATAACAGGCTCCGAAAATTTGTGCTGTGGCTCAGGCAAAAAATTCAGCTGCAGCATGAATTAAAGAGAAAAGGAATCCATTTGGTAGAACTTTTTAAATGAGCCTTCCACCCCTACAAATCTGCTTCATGCAGTGAGTCAAGCCTTACAGCAGAAATGCTGCTCCTCAAGACACGCCTTTAGCAGCATGATGAGTTTTTAAGTGACCATTGCAGTGTGGGAAGCCTCAGGACAGAGAATTTGTGACACCCCTCAGTCATAAAACCTGTTTGAGATGTAGCTTAGAGTAACAACATGTCTCAGCTGTTATGCATGTCTCTTTACATGAGCCAAGAGTGGCATTTGTTCAATTATTAGTGACTGTGCTCTGCCACAGGTCAAAATCAGCTCAAAGCTGGCCCTAAAGATACTTTTCTCAGTCTGGTACATAGATGGTCTTCATCTTTAAGCTCCACTGGTTGCATATTCATGATGTGTTATGTGACATTTCTCTGACTGCTTTAACAAAATTCAATAGTTTCAGAATTGCATTTATTTTACACTGTTTGAAACACTTCTGCTTTGATGTGGTCAAAATACTTTATTTAGCTAATACCAGTGTGCTTCTTTGCAATCTTAAAATTACATCTAGTAATTATCTAACCAGCAAACTGATAACGGTGAGCTGAGGTACGTTGGCAAAACACCAGTAGTGAAAAGTGTTCTAAACCCTGTTAAACTGGTGGGAGGGTATGTATGTCACACAGATTTCCCTGTAGTTCAGTGTGGAAGGGGAAGCAGTTATAAATCCCAGTTAACTCTAAGGTTTGTGGCTTTGATTTACCCTCTGCTGTTGCTTCATCTACTTATCTCTCCAGTTTGGGGGTGTCCAGCAGGCAGGGCACGTGGGAGCCAGCTAAAACATTTCCTCTGTCAAGAGGTGAAGACAGAGCACACCGAGGAGCATTAGCTAATGTGTCTTTATGATGCTCATATGCTTTATGCCTGTCATTTCACAGGCCATTGTAAAACGATATATCCAAACAACACAGTAATTCAGTGCCACAGATGAGGAAAAATAGCTGAGTGCCCAGACTCTGCACCTTGTGTGATTGTGTTTGGCCACTTTAGCCTCTGTCTCAACAACCCAGCTCCCTCATTTAGGCTATTAAATTCTTTGTAAATGTGGGTATCAAAGCAAAGCATCACAAAAAATCATAGGGAACTCAGCTGGGTCACAGGGCAGCAGCCTTCTCCTTCACAGCCCCACTCATTGCTGTGTGTTGGAGTTCAGTGCTGGAGCTGCAGCCCAGCTAACAGAGGGGCAGGGGAACAGTGGCTGCTGATGGGAATGTACATCCTTTTGCAGAAGTGAAGGATGCAAATGTAGCTTGTGACTGAAGAGAGGTTGTTTGGACAGGTGTATCTTGAATCTGCCCATCTGTCTTCTTAAACAGAAAGAGCTAAGAGATGCTAAAATTCGGCAGACCTCAAAGACTTTCTACTTGTAAAGGGAAATACTTGAAATTAGGAATATGCACAGAAAGTGCTCTGGCTCCTGGGCCTTGGGAAGTGCTGCTGTAATGACAAGAAGCACCTGCACTGAAGTGCCAGGCCACTGACCCCCACGAATTATTGGCTTGGATGGTACCGTGGGAGCTCATCCTGTGCTGCAGAAAACCCAGGTCAGCTCTGAGTCATAAAAAGAGCCGATTATCTGAAACAGGCGGGATTTCCACCTTCCAAGAAGTGCCCACCTAGCTGCAGCTGAAAGCCACTAATGTAAGATGAAGAAGGCACTGTAATTATGATCAAAGTCCAGCTGTTGAGAGCTATGTAATTAGTATCTCTCCCCAAAGCTGCTTTTTTTTCCAGCTAATGCCTGGTTGGGGGAGTGATGTTTACAGATAAGTTACTTGTGTTCTTGGAAATAATGGTCATTAGGCTGTGTTCTACCCAGGAGCTCTGTTCTTTGGGGGTTGTTGAGAATGCACCTGCTGGTGCACTGTAGTCCTGCCTGCTCTGCTCCTCCCTCTGCCCATGCCCAGGCTAATTGCTGGCCTCAGGATCCACATCGTTGCTGTGTTGAAGGTGCTCACCGTGGCTCACTCCTCCCTTTTGAATGAAAGGGCTCTCACACAAACTGCTCCTTCTCCTTTCATTTCTCACTTTGTATTCTCAACACAATGTGATACAGTTCGGCCTCCCAAGTCTCACTAATAACAGAGGAACAGCCCTGAAATCCTCTGGTCTCTGCAGTACCTGTGCTGGAAACCTGATTTCTCAGACATGGTCCTGGGTTTTGAGGAGGTTGCTAAAACCAAAAGATCAAACAAAACACCCCAGCCAGGTGTGTAGAAAAAAAATCTGGTTTTAGAAAATAATGAGGAAAACTGTAAGAAATTACTTAAGGAGGGTATTAGAAATTAGCTGGAAAGAAGGGGAGTGTTTGAGCCATGGAAGCATCATCTCTTGGGTGCTGTATCTGGATGGATTTTGGTGAGCAGGGCCTAGTTCCAGCCAGCCAGAGCTCCCACGTTCCAAGAGATCTTTCATCAGGAGCATTGCATGTGTCACTTCACCTTCCCTCATTGGTTCCCACACCTATCAAACAGGGCTGGTGAACAGACTGCAGTTCTCAGATAGGAGTCTGGCCAAGCTGAATGCTGCAATACAGCACAGAGGTGGAAACTCACTGTACCCCCTGCTCATCACTGCCAACAGGCACTAATGAGACTGCAGGCTTCTTTCCCTTGGCTTGGGAGGGGACACATCCAGACAAAACATGCTGGCTGCAGCAGCAGAGGGCTGTGTCCCTCATGGCTGTGAATTGATGCTGGAGTAATGGGCTCTCCTTTCACTCAGGTATCAGCTGGGTGACATTGGGACAGAGATTTGTTTAAGTTGTCATAGGGTCGTGTCCTGCAGGAGAATCTCATCCCACGTGCAGGCTCTGCAGAATCCTTGCTTTTGGGCAACTGCACATTTTTTCTCTTTCCCCATACCATACTTTGCTGAGGAATAACTGAACTCCTGCTATTACAGAGTGGACAAATTTCAGTTGCCTTCACCTATGCTATGGGAGCCCAAACTTGCTGTGTTGGCAGAAAGACCTGAAGACAAGTAAAGAAAGACACATGACTTTGGTGCAGATCTAGTTGCACAAATAGCCAGTGATAGTGCAGGTACTTTCCAGAGACTCAGAGAGGACCCAGAAATGGTTCTGAGCAGTCTGTGGTGTGCTCAGAGCAGCTGGTGACTCCTGAAGGAGCAGAACTGGCTCTATGCGGGAAGGAGAGGTGGGAAGGTGCTTTTGTTTCTGGCCTCTGTGAGCTCTCCTGTGGGGTGCTGGTCACATTCACAGCTATGCTGCCACCCCTGGTAAAAATTCCATGAGGGAAGGACCACAGCTGGAGCCAGATGCACATGAGAGGA